TACGTCAGACGAGGCTACGCAACGCGTGACTACGTCAGACGAGGCTACGCAACGCGTGACTACGTCAGACGTCGGCGACAAGCTTTGCAGTGGTAAACAGGAAGTGAAACTTGCTAACTAGCAGAGGCTAATCAACTCGGGACAGTGGAGTAATTTTTTCGTGAATGTCTTGCTATTGGGCAAGTTGTAATTATTCTATCTATTCAGCTACAGGCTATGTTTAACGCTGCCAGGAGACGTAGGGAAATAAACGCAATGTTAAACTACTTTTATGATAACATCTGGGACGAGGCAGGAAAGCGGAAACAGCTGAACGTCACGTGAGGTAAATATGCGCTACGTCAGATTTTATTCAACAAACACGTTTCCATCTCCCGTTTTGCGCATTAACTACTTTGCGAATCATTCAAAAACCACCTCAAGCGAGCGTAAAAACTTTTTAGCGAATTGAGGATTTTTTTTTCAAATTTTGCTGTTTCCATCTGACTTTTTTTTTCACATTTTTAATGCAACACTTCTAAATGTGCATCAAAAAGCTTTGATGGAAACGCTCTCAATTGACTTTAACAATTTCTCAGTCCTGGCATCTAGAAACTATTCCCCCAGCATGATGCTGACACAATGCTTCATTGTTGGGGTGATGTTGGTCAAGTGATTAGCAATGCCTGGTTTCATCAGAATGGCGGGTCTTGTTCCTTGCAATGTTGGAGTTCCTCAGGTGGACTGTGGAAGTATTGGCAGCCCATGTTATGTTGATATTAAATTAAATTTTCCACGAAGAAATCTCTAACTACTTTTAAAGCAAACATCCAGTTGATATGTCTCCCAACATGCTAAACAGACACATTTATCTGTTCATCTCAAACTGAAGTTTGTATTTGTCACAAACCAGTCTTTCAGTATTCAGCAAAATACTCCCAAAGTGTTTTAAAATTCCACTGCATTGGATTCTGCTTTATTCGAATCTTAGTCAGTGTTGTATAAAGTACCACAAAGTGATACTTGAGTAAAAGTACAAGTATCTTACCAAAAAACTACTTTGGTAAAAGTTAGTCTCCTTTAGGAATACAGTATTACTTGAGTAAAAGTCTTAAAGTATGTGATATTTGTTGTAGTTAAGTTTTAAAAGTCAAAGTACTGATTTAAAATGAGCAGTTAGATTTTCTGTAAGGACATTTATTAGGAGGTGACCTCCCCAAAAACTGCAGAAATGACTGTTGTATTAAAAGAATGAATGGATGTTAAATTTAGGATGCACTAGTCCAGCTGTTTCAGTTTATATACATATATCAAGGCTGCACAAAGCTTTTCCCCAAAATGAAAATCTATCTGAGGGCTGCGGCCAAATGTAAKAATATAATTCATGAAATACAAATACTTCTTAAGTACAGTCCTTTTATTTGAATGGTTCTGTCCTGCTGGAGTGTGACATGATTTGTTTGTGTACAAACTAATACACTATCAGAGTTTTATATATTTATACTTCTCATTCAACCACAGTTAAATTCACTCTATCTAAGAAGCACAATTTATGGATAGTTTTTATTTTTTACAAGAACAAGCTGGAATAAAAACAAGCAAAATGAAATAAAAGTAACAACTTTCTACTTATTGTCTTTTTTAAAAATGTAAGATGAGATACACAGATAATTGTGTGAAAATGTAAGAAGTAGAAGTAAAAAGTAGGCTGAAAAACAATTACTCAAGTACAGATACCCAAAAATTCTACTTAAGTACAGTAATCAAGTATTTGTACTTAACAACTGATCTTAGTGAGAATATTTATTAGGGCTGCAACGATAAAGGAAATTCACGATTCGGTTCGATACTTTAGTCTCACAGTTCGATATTTTTTCGATACAAAAAATAGAAATGTCCATGCCCCTTTTAACTTGTAATTTAATTGTATTAATTATGAACATTTGTTTAACCTCAAAAGTACAGTTTTTAAATTAAATGTTGCTGAAACAGCAAGTTTCTCAGTGGATCTGTGCTCAAAAATACAGCCTAGGTGGAGTAGTCGAACACAGATCCACTGATCCTTCAACACAGAGCATCTTCAGAAGACAAGTTGATAAAATAAATTTTAAAAACCTGTGTTGTTTGATACAAGTGTGTGTTGGACCCTAAAGCACTGTTTGATACGGGTACATGTATTGTTGCACCCCTAATATATATAACATGAGACATGGAATGTGTTGCAAGATTAGTTTAATTGTGGTGTTTTTGTTATTTATTAGATGTTGTTTTTGATCAGGTTTGTGTTACAAAAATAGTTGTATAATAATGTTGTCTTTTGTCTCCAGAGCAACACTCCACTGAGCAAAGAGGACACTACAGCAGGATCTGCCAGTCAGTCAAGTGATTCTTTAATCATCAGCAGCCAAACAGGAAACCAGTCAGCCGGAGGACCCTCTGAAGAGTTTGAGGACCTGATAAAAAACGTAGATGCCGGTACAGCTGAAAAGCTTTTCGATGAATTCTCGGATGATTTTGTTGACATAGTGAGAAGTGAAGCTGCGGTACAAAAAGAGGAAGTAGACGGAGGAAAAGGCGAAGTGGCCAGTGGCATAAAGGATCCACAAACAACTTCCACTGCTCCAGTTATTGATATGAATGTTGATCTGTCGACCAGCAGTGAGCAGCAGCCACCTGTCAGTGAGGAAATCTCAGACCCCCTGGTTGACCTCGTCTGTGATCCATCAGTTCCTGCCGATGCCAAAAATCCCAGTGCAGCCATGATGGATCTTTTTCAGGATGAGGGAAGCAACATTTTCACAGAAACTCAGCCGACTAAAGCTGACAAGCTGCCTCAGAAAAGCCTGTTCGGTGACCCTGATGAGGATCTGTTTAGTGAGCCGCTGGGTGCCGTCTCTAAGAAACCAACCAGTAAGGAACATGCTCCCAAACCTGCAGCTGCTGCTGGAGAACCTTTGCAAGGCAATACACCCACAGATATTTTTACAGAGGAACATGTCCCCACAGTCCCAAAAACCAGGAACACCAGTGCTGCCATCTCCAAAACCAATGGAGTCCACTCTGAGGAAAGCCCAGACATATTTGCTGGTAGGATTGACACTTTCTAAAATTTAAAATATTCTAAAATGTGTCTGACCTTATGTTTTCTCAGACATTCAATTATTTCAAATCATTATTACAAATAACTTCATTTCTGGACATTTATGGTTTGATTTCTTTGTATGTATGGATCACTTGGGTTGTTACC